GTAGCACCTTGGTGAGCATATCAGCAGGATTTTCTTCAGTAGGTATCTTTTCCACTACTATTGAACCCTTGGCAACGACATCCCTCACAAAATGAAGTTTTATATCTATATGCTTGGATCTTTCATGAAATACCTGATTTCTGGTTAGGTGAATGGTGCTTTGGTTGTCGCAAAACACAGTTATCACCTTCTGATGTATCCCAAGCTCTTCAGTCATGCCCTTTAGCCACATAGCTTCCTTGATTGCTTCAGTCACAGCGATGTATTCGGCCTCTGTTGTCGAGAGGGCCACAACGGATTTGAGGTTAGACTTCCAACTGACTGCGGTACCGAAGACAGTGAAAATGAATCCGGTAAGTGACTTCCTGGTGTCAATGCTTCCTGCATAATCTGAGTCCACGTAACCAACTACCTTTTCTTCTTTGTCTTCCTGCCTTTTGAAGAGTAGACCCAGGTCTGTAGTGCCTCTCAGGTACCTCAAGATCCATTTTAGTGCTTCTCAGTGAGCCTGTCCTGGGTTTGCCATGAACCTGCTTACAATGCTAACGGCGTAGGCCAAATCTGGTCTGCTGCAGATCATCCCATACATGATGCTACCAACCCCGTTGGCATAAGGGACACCCTCCATGTACCTTTTCTCTTCTTTAGTCTCCGGTGCTTGAGAGTTTGACAATCTGAAGTGTTGGCCAATGGGTGTTGCAACCTGCTTAGCCTCATGCATGTTGAACCTTGCTAGAACCTTCTGAATATATGACTTTTGAGATAAGAATAAAGTGTCATTTTTCCTATCTCTAGTAGTCTCTATCCCTAGGATCTTTGCAGCAGGTCCTAGGTCCTTCATGTCAAATTCAGAATTTAGCATACCTTTGATCTTCTGGATTTCCTCCTTGCTTCTGCTGGCTACTAACATATCATCCACATAAAGAAGCAAGTAGGTACTTATTTCACCGTCTTGCCACTTCATGTACACGCAACTGTCGTAGCTGCATCTGACAAATCCGATCTTTAGCATGAACTCATCAAATCGTTTGTACCATTGTCTGGGGCTTTGTTTTAGTCCATACAAAGCTTTCTTCAGCAAGCAAACTTTGTCCTTTGTCTCAGGTGTGCAGTACCCATCTGGCTGATCCATGTAGATGGTTTCTTCAAGCTCTCCATGCAGGAACGCAGTCTTAACATCTAGCTGCTCTAATTCCAAATTGAATTGAACCGCTAGTGCTAAGACTATCCTAATGGAGCAGTGCTTCACGACGGGCGAGAAGATTTCGTTGAAGTCGATTCCTTCTACCTGAGTGAATCCCTTTGCAACGAGTCTGGCTTTGTATCTGATCCTGTCAATACCTGGCGTGCCTTCTTTCTTCTTAAAGATCCACTTGCAACCAACCACTCGTTTGTTCTTTGGTCGATCCACAAGTTTCCAGGTTTTTTGTTCTTCATTAGAGAAGCCATTTCCTCATCCATTTCCTCTTCCCACCTGAGTCTTTCCTTGCTCTTTAAGGCTTCCTTGTAGTTGCTCGGTTCTGCTTCTTCTAACTCTTCGACAACACTTAAAGCATATGAGATCATATCTGCATGGCCGTATCTCTCTGGCGGTCTGATAATTCTTCTTTGTCTGTCCCTTACCAAGAGGTAGTCATCAGATCTTCTTTCTGGCTCAATCACTTGCTGCTCCTCTGCCACTTAATCCTAATTGTTCACAACAGTTCTTTGATTTGTCAAAGTTCGTTGTTGTTGCAGCTCCACCTCAATTGAAGTATCCTCATTATTGATGCTATTTTTGGCAGCATGGCTATACAGATTCGCCCTTTTGGACTCATCGAACGCCACATCTCTACTGATGATGCATTTTTGTTGATCTAGGCACCAGAGTTTGTAGCCCTTGGTTCCAGGTGGGTATCCAATGAAAATGCACTTCAGAGCCC